TGCTGCCGCTACTCTGCCCACCCCAAGACAGAGCCCCTTTATCGCCGAAAGTCTCTGTACAGCCCCTTGTGAAGACAGTTCAGAGACCTCCTGATCCCGGTGTCTTCTGGCAGCGGTGGGTTTAATCAGCTCTCCCCGGAGCAGGGCGGGCTGGGCACAGGCTGGCGCCTTGCCGAGTCTGGGGAGTGGTCCTGAGGGGCCCGCCTGCTTGGTCTAGGGGGACTGGGGCGGGGCATGTGCAGGGACAACAGATGGCTTCTCTCGCATGCATCTATCTGCGTGGATTCAACACGCCAGACCTATAACTGGCCTCCCTACGCCCAGTCCCAGGCAGCCCCTTTCTCTTCCAGGGGGTCCAGGGCGGGTGCCCTGGAGCCCCAGAGGCATGGCTGCTGGTCCCAGGAAGGGGTCCGTCGTTCTACCCAGCACACAGCAGGCGCCTGTTAATTCGCATGGTGAACTGCTGAGTGCCAGGAGGAGTGTGTCCCGCCCTCCCCTCCCTGGGCAATAGCGGGAAGACCCCCTCCACTGAGCCCAGCCATGAGGCCTGGGGAGAAGGTGCCCACAAAGAGGGCAGGACACCCTTGGAGCTGGACATCCCTGCCAATGGCCATGGGCACTGGCCCTGAGTCCTGTCCTCCCCTTGTGGTCAGCAGGCCCCCGCTGGCCCTGCCATGCGATCAGCTGCAGGAAGGAAGGGAACACTGTGTGTGCAGAGCTCAGGACGGCAGGGGCCTGGGCACTCAGCCGGCGTCCGGGTAAGGGGCTCCTCGGCCAGCTCCAGCGCCCCGCAGGGGTGAGATGTGCTCAGGTGGCCCAGCCTGGCCCCACGACCTACTGCATGGCCTCCGGGGACTCCCTTGGTCTGTTCGGCCTGGGAATCCAAGTGCATGCTCTGTACCAAGGTCTGAGGGCCAAGAAGACAGGCCTGCTGGATGGGGTCGAGTGGAGGGAGGGACAGCCCTGGGATGATGCAGTGGGACACCCCATCCAGGCCCCTGCCGGGGGCCTTGGCTGTCTTGCAGTCTGTGAGTCCCAAGCTGGGCCCTTTCACAACGGTTTCATGAGCCACACGGCCTTCCATGAGCGCTTACATCCTTCTCGAAAGGCAGGAAAACTGAGGGCCAGTCAGTGGTGGGGCCCTGCCTTGGACCAGGCCTCAGTTCTGGACCTCTGTGAGCCCAGGCTGTGCAGGGTGTGAGCTCTGTGGATCCACTCTGTGACCATCTGGCTGGGCGGGGATCAGCCTGGCGGGACCATGGAGGGCTTCCTGGAAGACGAGTCGTGTTGGAGCTGAGTGTTGAAAAGGGCCCTGAGGGATTCTGTGGCTGGGAGCTGGGGTGGGCACTACTGTGGGGAGATGGGCAGGACCCCCAGATCTCCTCAGGCTTCCAGCCTGGCCACATGGACAAGGATGCATCCAGAACGCTGTTGTCCCCCTGGGGCTGCCCAGGCCTTGAGTGGGGAGCCCTGCCAACCCTTAGGCTGGGATGTGCACCAGGGCTGGGCCTGGCTTCCAGGGCTCCAGGGCAGCCTCAGCCCAGCGCAGGGTGGGAAAAGAGAGAGGGGTGGGGGCGAGGCAGGACCAAGGCAAGGCCGTTGGCGACGGGTGTGTTTGAACAAGTGTGGCCTCAGATGGGTGCAATCCTGCGCACACACGTCACTTCACACCTCTGGCCCTCAGTATCCTCATCGGCACACTGAGGGCATCAGCAGCCTCTTCCTGTGAGGACACAAAGGAGATGAGGTGTGTGAGGCGGCTGCCCCACACCTGGGAGGCCTAGAGCGGGGACACGTGTCCCGGCTGCCCCAGGCCCCAGCTCATCCAGCAAATAAACACTCACTTCCCTGTAAACATGTTTCAGGCATGTTCTCTGTCTCACTGGACATCACGCTACCATCAGCTGCTGAACATTCTGCTGCTTCTATTATTTCAGAACTAATTTAAGGATTAAAAAATAATTCTTCCAATTACTGTGCAAAGCCTGGGGCAGCCAGAGAAATGGGGGCAGGTGCTCCTGTCTGAGGACCCGGGCCAACCCTGCAGCCCAGATGGATAGCAGCACAGGGTGGCCCGGGACCCCTTGGCCCCAAGAGGGCCCCAAGTCATGCCTCACTGCCATCCCAGGGCCCCAGGGTCAGGGCTGGCAGAGAAGCGACCCTCGGGAGCAGCCCAAGCCTGAGCCCAGCACCCGCCCCATTCAGCCACTGTAAGCCCTGGCCAGGGGTGTCCCCTATATCAATGGTGCATGGTGGGGCTGACGTCACCAGGGCCTGGGACACAAGGATGGGCTTGAGAAATGTGAAGAATTCTGTCCACAGGTTGCCCTGTGGCTGGCCTGGCATCCTGGGACAGGGCTGGGAGCGTCCAGGGTAAACCAGCAGCTGGTGTCGGGGGAGGTCGACATGCTCAACGCCACTTCTCACAGCTTTAATTAGCTTCCTGCTTGGGTCTCTGGTTTTGGGAGACCAAGGTTGGACATCAGCTGCCTGCCTGCCTGCATCCAGTGGGCCCAACCTCAGGGAAGCAGCAGGGCCGGGATGAGGGGCTGGGGTCCTGGCAGGGGCAGGCGGGAGCTCAGCCTGCTGCCCCGTCCCAGCACGCCCCGCCCCTCCCGGCCCCTCGCCAGCACAGGCCGGTGATCTCATCTCTTCCTGGTCTGTAAATATCACCCGAATGCTCACGACTCCCAAATTGTCCTCCAGCCCGGGCCCCTCTCCTGAGCTCAGCCTGCACAGCCCACGCGACACCCCCGCCCAGATGGCTCCTGGGCTTCGACAGTGCTGGCCGCTCCCCACAGCGCCCCCACTTCAGGGATGGGCGCCCCGTGCCAGCTGCTCAGGGCGGACACCAAGAGCCCTGCCTGCTGCATGTGCCTTCTGCCGGGTCCAACTCAGAACGTGGCCACGTCCCTCCTGGTCCCCCCCACTCCACCGTCGTTTGCCCTGCCCCCACCACTGCACAAGCCCCCACTTCTCAGGAAGTCAGCTCCCACCTCTGCCCTCCTCGGGACAAAGTCCCCAAGGCCTGTGGCCTCCCCCAAAATGCCCCAAGTCCACCCCCTTCGCCCTCAGACTCTTCTCCCCACTCCCCACCCTGGCCTCAGCTTTTCTCTCCTGGGAGAGGGGAGGGTGCACCCCCAGGGTGGGCTGGGGCTCTGGCAGGGGTAGGAGGAGCATGTGGCTGTGAAGGCAGGGCTCACCAAGTGTACTTGGGGAGGTCAGCCAAGTCACAGCTCAGTGTAGGCCTCCTGAGGGCCAGCCGGTGGCAACAGGCACAGTCAGCCTTGACAATGCCCTGAGGGCAGACAGGTACCTCTCAATGAGAAGCAGACTCAACAGAGGGAGTGAGAACCCTGTCCTGGGAGGTGTGCAAGCTGAGGAGCTCAGGCAGGCCTCAAAACTCTGCAAAGGGGTGTCTGTAGTTTCCTGGCTGCCAGGAAGGTGGTGGGAGCCCAGGGGCTGCCGTGCTGTGCAAGAACCCCACAGCCTCAGCTTGGAGCCCTGCCTCCTCCCCAGATCTAGCGGTCTGGCTGCATCTCCTTGGGCATGGCAGGGGTTGCTCAGGAGAAAACTCGGCAAAGAAACCCACGCTCCCTCTGCCCACTAAAGCCCAGCGCAGGCTGGTAGGCTCCGGGGCCTGGCAGCGCAGAGACTAGGTGCCAGGGAGCACTGATGGCCGGCCTTCCGGCACAGGGCAGTGGCTGCCTGACACCTTGCCACCAGACTCCACAGACCTACCTCTGCTGAGGCTGTCCAGGGGGAGCACTGGGGTCTCCTGGGCCCAGGGGCAGGGGCATGAGCCGCGTGGTCCCCTGTCTGAGGAGCCTGCTCTGAGCCAGGGGGCAGGGCTGCCAGGCCCTGGAGCTCAGATACTCTGGCGTCCAGTGCACAGAGGAGGAAACTGTCAGTGCCCACGAGGGGAGTGGGCAGCGCCAGTGGGCCAGGCCCAAGGGTCTCCTGGAGGAGAGGGAGTGTGTGGGAGAGTGGCTGGAGGAGGGGCGGAGGCCAGTCTGGAGAGCCGGGACACGCCCCGCAGCACCCTGACTCTGCCCTCCCCAACCGGCACAGAGGAGCCAGTAGGGGAGCCGGGGGTGGGCGCCCGGCTGCTGAGCATGTCCCCGCTCCCCCTCCTGGCTCCCCTGGGCTCTGGAGCCCGGGCCTCCCCCATGGCCATCTGGCTCCACCAGCAATGCTCCCCACTCCCTCCCCCAACCCCCTCTGTTCTCCTCCCTCTCCCTGTTCCCCCAGGCCCTGCCCTGAGAGGGACGGGGAGTCTTGGCCACGTGGCCTCTCTCCTCTTTGTTCTGAGTCCTCACAGGCCCAGGCCTTGAGAAAACGTGTGTGTGCATATTTCTGCCTGTGCTGCATGTGCTCTGCGTTTGTGAGCACACATGTGCATGCACGTGTGCGCATGTGGTCCCTGCCCCGCCTGTGTGTTGTGTGTGCACACGTGTTGCAGGGGCATAGAGACCCATGTGGCCTTGCATCGGGGTTGGGCTTGGTATAAGTGCAGGGCGCCCTGGACACGTGCCTGCACAGGTGTGGCTGCAGCTCTGGTATGTGCGCGCTGGCAAGTCACATGGGAGTGGGAGGGCAGCCGGGGCTGGGCTGGCTGGGGTGGAAGGCTGAGCCCTCCAGAGACCCTGTGTAGCACCAGAGCAGATATCTCCACAAAGGCAGCCCCATCTGGCTCTCACAGGCTGAGAGCGTGGTCTGCACTGGATACATGCCTCTCCCCGGACGCCACTGTCAGTCCAGCTGCAGGGGACGCTTGCTGACATCAGTGTCCGTGGCAGGGCCGGCTGGGTCACTGCGCATCTCTGGTGGCCGCCATGGTGCTGGGTGGAGATGGTCCAAGCTGCCCGGGCCGCACGGCCTGTGTGGCTGGCAACCCCCTTCCCTCTCGAGGCCTCCGTGTGCCTGTGACTGGGGCAGCCGTGCCTGCAGGGCACCCTGCCTCTCATTGCCCCTAGCACCCCAGCCCGAGAGGCCACGGCTTAAGAAAAGAGCGCTTTATTCCACGTCGTCGGCATTTTTACACAAGTAAAATAAAACGCGTATCTCTATATACCGCAATCCGGGTGGGAGGCGGCGTTCTGGAACAAACGCTGCCACCGTACCCTGTAAACATGATGGGGTGGAGATGGGGCGGGGGCAGGAGTGTCCGTCCGGGAGGGCCTGCCGCCCCGTGCTGGCTGGCCGCGTGGAGGGACCCCGTATGTACACACACCTGGCTGCCGAGAGAAGCATCCCAATCGGGGGCCAGTCAGCAGGACCCGAACACTGTCCAGAGCACCAGTGCAAAGCCCAGGGGTGCGAGGCTGCAGGCGAGGCTGGGCAGAGCGCCCGAGCCCTCTGAGTCACCGGCCCCACCAACCCCACTGCCTGCCTGGCCCAGACGGCACTGGCTGCGTGTGCGGTTCTTGCGGGAGCAGCCTGGTCTCCGGCGAGGGCCCGTGGTGGGGGGGCCAGGGGGCTCGGAGCCCTCAGGCCTCAGCACTGTCAGCGGGGGCTTGGCTGAGCCAGGCAGGGTCCCGAAGGGGGAGTCATTGATGTGCCGTGGGCCGGAGCCGTTGCCGGGTGGGCTGTCGCCGGACGGTGCACGTCCCTTGAGTGCATTGCCAGCCGAGGCTGGACTCCCGGCCTCCAGCACCGAGGCCTTGTCTGCGGCGTCTGGCTGGCAGCACTTGGGCAGCCCCAGGGGTTCCTCGTTGGCAGGCCCGCCGGTCCAGACAGGATGGGAGGGCCTGGAGGCCACGGCGCAGCCCTCCAGGTCGGTGGCAGCCAGGCGCTTGAGGTCACGGCCGGCCAGGCGTGGGGGCAGGCTGCAGAGCAGCTCAGACGAGGAGCCTCGGAACTGCCGCAGCCACACCCAGAGCGGGCGCGCCCGGCAGTCACATACCCAGGGGTTGTCGTTGAGCCGCAGGTACTGCAGCGCTCGAAGGGGCGCCAGGGCCTCCGCGGGCAGCGCCGAGAGGTTGTTGGCAAACAGGTAGAGGGTCATGAGGCGGCCCAGGTCGCGGAAGGCGTGCGGGTGCACGCGGGCCACGCGGTTCTGGTGCAGCAAGAGGCGGTCAAGGCTGTGCAGGCCACGGAAGGCGCGCTCGGGCACGCTGGGGATGCGGTTGCCGTGCAGGAAGAGGTGCGTGAGGTTGCCCAGGTCGCGGAAGGCATCGTCAGGCAGTGCCTGTAGCCCGTTGTCCTGCAGGTAGAGGTACTGCAGGGCGACCAGGCCACGGAAGAGGCCAGGGCCCAGCTCCTGCAGGCCACAGCGGTCCAGGTGCAGCGTGTGCAGGCGGCCCAGGCCATGGAACGTGGCGGGGTCCACAGAGCGTAGCTGTGAGTTGTCACTGAGGTCCAGCTGCTCTAGGAGGGCCAGGCCGGCAAAGGCGGTGGCATCGATGCGGGCCAGTGCATTCGAGTGCAGCCACAGGATGGTGAGGTTGCGACAGGCGCGGAAGCCAGCGGCCGGCACGTGCACAATGCGGTTACCGTGCAGGAAGACGCGCTGGCTGGCAGCGGGGATGTCAGCCGGCACGGCTTGGAGACCCTGCTGTGGGCAGCTCGTCGTCACCTTGGGCTCGTTGTAGCACACACAGGCGCCTGGGCACGGTGCCGCCACCCGCCATGCCTGTAGCCACAGCACCCAGGCCAGCAGCCGGCTCCCTGTGGGCAGAGGAGGGGGCAGTTAGCAGGCTGGGGGTTGTGCTAGAGCCTCAGGATTGGGCATCAGGACGGGCTGGGGTGGGGCTCAGGGTGTGCTGCCCCCCACTGCCCCCCAGGGATCTCACATGCTGTGATTCCTGCTCCATCCGCCACCTGGAAGCTGCTGCAGGGGAGTCACATGCTCCACACCTGGAACCTCGCCCACAGACGCCCACGTTGCCGCCCGGCACTCATACACACGAGCTAATGTGCCCACATGCCCCTCTACCACTTGGTCAGAGCAGGGTCAGCGCGGGGACCCCACTTGAAGGCCTCCTGGGATGGGTACTCACCCACAGAAACCTTCTCGGGACTGCAGCGAACACAGAGGTCTCTGGACCTGTCTGCCATCCCTACTGGTCCCAGTGTGATCCCTGGCCTGTCCTCTGCCCCCAGCCCACAGGCCAGGCTGGGAGAGAGGCCCTCGGCAAACACCTGAGCACCAGACCGGCTGAGCTCACGCAGAGGAGCCCTGAGCCAAGGCTCAGGCCCAGGCCTGCCTAGCAGTCAGCTGCTGGGCTCTCTACAGCTTCTGCAGCAGCCCCTCCCCAGGGCCATCTCGGGCTGCAGGAGGGGTGGGGCTGTGGTTCAGACCCCCTGTCCTGCCCAGGCCCCAGAGCCCCTGAGGCCCCAGGGCTGCCCAGATTCTGAGGCCTCACCACCGTGGGGAGCTGCGCTTAAAGGAGGAAACGGCAGGGGCCTTGGTGGAGCCCGGAGCCACAGCCCCCAGCGGCATCCTGCAGGGGTCTGGGTCCCAAGGAAACACTGCTGGGAGCCCCAGGCTCTGCAGCAACTCTACTATCACAGGATCAGGAGCATGGACAACACCGAGTGCAGGCGGCTGGCTCCGAAAGGGAAGGGCGAGCGCAGCCCCCTCCAGGCAGGCTGCTCCCTCCTCCACATATCCTCCTTGGAGCTGCTTCTGTGCTTCCTGACTTGGCAGGGAACCTCCTGCAGCCTCCTCCCCTCGGCCTCATTCTCTGCTTGATCTCCTCCCGGGGCGAGGAGCTTACTCCTTCCCAGCCCATCACTCCCTGTGCAATCACAGCTGCCCTCAACCCTCCCACCCAGACACACTCCCCATGCTTCCTGCCCCAGTCCCCGGGCGCTGCAGTCCCCTCTCCCCCATCTCGGGGCCAGATACATTTGGGGCCTCACCAACGACCTGGACAGGGCAGGAGACCCCTCATGGGGCTCTGTGTCCAGCCTGGTCTTACCAGCAGGGCCACACGCCCCTATACTAAGATCACTGCCTGTCATTCCACCGTTAGAGCCAAGGTTCTTCCCGCCTCCAGGAGTGAGTCTATTAAAATGTGAATCCCCCAGGGAGGGTTATGGCTTATCAGCTAACACTTGAGTTATCAGCTAACACCTGCGTTGACAGCTAACACCTTCCTTGGCAGCTAGCTAAGAGCAGGATTCTGCAGACATGAGGCCGGCTGAGACCTGGGGCAAGAGCCAGGAGGGAGGAAGGAGACGACCATGGGCCATCTTCCCTTACCCAGAACCGCTACTTGGAGCCCGCCCCCCCCATGCTGTGGCCCCCACCACACTGGGTCTTCTCTGCTTGGGCCAGTGCAGATGCCCACCCCAAGCCTAGTGCAGTGGCCAAGAGGACTGGGCCCCCCTGGACTCCAGTCCCCAGGTCCTGGAGCCCCCTCCCACAGCTTGAGGACCTCCTCTGTGCTCTGCCTGCCGCTGGGGCTGGGCCATTTGTTGGCTGCCAGGGACATGGCAGCCCCAGGATGGAGGTCCAGAGAGGCAGCCCACCCCAGGACCCCCCAAGCCCTAGTGCCCCTCTCTGGGCCGGCCTTACACAGGAGGCTGTGAAGGGGCACCTCAGCCTGCTATTCTATTTAAACTGCTGACACCCTCTCCCGGCTCTCTCCTTATGGGGCCTCCTTGGGAAAGTCAGGCCCGATCATGCCAGCTCTCACCAGCATCTCACTTGCTGTCACAGGATGTAACTGTGCTACAAAAACAGCATGTCCCATCCCCGAGACCTGGTGGCGGAGGACCTAAGACAGGGTGCGGTGAGCCCAGGTACTCTCTGGCCAGGCTCTGGGCCACACCATGTTACGACTGTGCCATGTCACCAACCACACCATGCCACAGTCCTGTCCACACCACTGACTGGGCTATGTCAGCAGCCACCCATCACGACCACACCTGCCACATCACTGACTGAGCTGTTACTGTCGCACGCTGTCCCGTCGCTCCCAGGCCTGAAGCTGTGGTCCGTGAGATGGGCTGGTGTTGGGTTCAGTTGACTTTACCAGACCAGGCTGGCTTCACCTGCCCTCCCCAATCTGGGCCCCCAGGAGGCTGTGAGCCACATGCTTGGGGCTACGCCCACTCTGAGAACGCCCCAAATGAGGCTCTGGGGCTGAGCCATGCTGTGGCGGCGAGTGGCTGAGCGGCCGCATGGCTCAGCCTTGCCAGGAAGCGGGCACTGGGCACAAAGACACCGCTCTGTTCCCGCCGAGCCAACTGCTTTTTGGAAACCAACTTCTGAGGGCCTGTCCCTCCACACCAGCCCTGCTGTCAGCACCACGGCTGGCGGTGGACTTTCTCCTTGCTGCGGCCACAGTAATTGGCTCCAACCTGGCCCCCTTGGGGCCTGCCCGCTGGTCTCCATGGCAACCCCTCTGCTGAGCAAGCAGAGGGGGCGTCCTTTTACGAGATAATCAAACCCGACGTTGCGGCGTGGCTTCTTAGTCACAGCGGGGCCCCAGGGACACGGGCGACCCCACCAGGTAGTGGGAGGGTGTCCCCTGACCAGACTCCATGGACCTGACCCCTCCCAACCCTAAAAGTCCTCCCCATCCTGTCCTCTCGTGCCATCCCCCCATCGGTCCTCCTGGCCTCTGCAGCACCCTGAGCCAGAAGGCCTCTCTGGCCTCCAGATCTGCTCCCTCCCGGGTCCTGCCCACCCATCGGAGGCCCCTGCCCGCCTGCCTCTCCTTCCTCTCAGCCCAGCCTGCCCACTGGCTCCAGCCGGTGGCCTGCCTCCCTTCGGCCCACCTCCCACTGCGCCAGCCTCACTGGGTCCCAGTTTGTAGTGAGCACCCGGGGCCAGCTCGCCTCCAGGCTCATGTGGCAAGAAAACAGCCCTGCCACAGCCTAGGATCTCACTCTCGGAAGCCACGGTCCCACACCAGGCCACCAGGCTACAGGACCATTGCACAAACCCAAACCAGTCCCTTTCTTGTCATCCCCCAGGCTGATACTCACCCCTTCTGTCCTCAGGTCTCAGCACAGAATGGCTGAGGTCTCCTCCGGTACTCTCCCCACAGAGGGGCCACTGGGGCTTGGCGACGAGCTCTGGCCTCAGCCCAGGTCTGGCTCAGGGGCCATGGCGGGGGCATGAGGACAGAGGGTAGCAGATCGGCCACTCCTGCCTTGGCGGGGGTGGAGGGAGACAGTGACTGGATTCGACTCAGGGCCTCTCCTGCTGGGGCAGCAGACGGGCAGGAACGACAGCTGACAAGGCCACGGAGCCAAAGACCCAGGAGGCTGGGGGATGTCAGGCCTGGGCTGGCCTTGAAGGGCACGTGCATTCTCACGCTGCCCCTGCTCCTGGGCAGCAAAGGGCCCAGGTCCCCCTTTGCGGTCACTGCAAGGGGGGAGGAAGGTGGAGGGAGGAGAAGCCAGAGGAGAAGGGAGGGCAGTGGGGAGGGCCGGGAGGCTCCTGGGGGCTCCCAGTAGTCCCAGGAGGCAGTGGGCGGCAGGTAGGCAGCCGCTGAGGTCAGCAGCTCAGGAGCAGGGACGGCCGCAGGCTGCAGGCCAGAGGAGGTCTCTGGTGTGCTCCCTGGCCTCCGCTGCTCCCGGGGCCCCCAGCCTGGGCTTGAGGTAAGCAGGGTGTAGCTCCCTAAAGTCCCATGGGGACACCTCTGCCCCCACAACGTGAGGCCATAGAGACAGCACAGAGCTGGAAGCCTGAGAGGCCCAGAGCACATGCTCCATGCCCTCGGGCCCTGATGCTCCCTGCTGCAATGGGGCAGCAGGAACACCCACTTTGGGGGTTGTTAAGCGGGTCCACCAGCTGGTATGAACATGCAGGAGTCAGAGCTGCATAAGAATCAATTGTCTTCTCAGTATCTTGAGCCCATTTTACAGACTAGGAAACTGAGACAGTGAGCGGCTAAGCCCTGGCTGGCTCCCACCCAGGGTGGTCCAGGAGGAAGGGTGGGAGAGGGAAGGAGGCACCTCCAGCCCAAGCCTTAAGAGTGGCCACTGTGCAGCCCTTCTGCGGAGGGGCGGGGCCAGAGGCACACGGCTCCCTTCTGTGCCATCGGTGGCTGGGAGGGGACCTCTCCAGGGAGGCTCTGTCTGAGCTGTTGCCCACCCCTCAGGAGGCTGGGGTCAGGAGGCTGGGGAAGGTCTGGGCAGCTACAGCACAGCCAGCACCCGGGTCGGCTCAGGACCCTCTTGAGCACCAAAACTGTCCCGTGAAGGGTCACGTCACAGACCGCAATTACAAGGCAGAACAGGAGGCCACAGCTCAGCACACCAAGGCCAGAAATAGCTCTGGGTGGGGGTGGGGGGCTGGTGTCGTCCGCATGCCGCAGAGGGTCAGGGCACTCTGGCAGCGCTGTGCTCACACCCGCCCCTCTGCCAGCGACCAGCTCACCCGCCCACCCTCTGTCGTCCATCTGTCCCCCTCGGTCTTCACTCGCTTCTCACACTCCCCGCCCACCTTCCGTCCGTCCTCCGGGCCACAGACACGCGCAGAGGCAGTGTGCACATCCGTGGCATTTCCGGGCCCCCTCCCTAGCTCCAGGTGCAGGAAGAGGAGGGTGACGGCAGCTCCTGTGGGGCAGCCCACCCTCGGGACCCTGCATCTCCTGGGGGCATGGTCGCCAACCCCTCGAGGCCCCGCTCCTTATTGATCTTCTTGGGGCTGTGGCTTCACGGGCCAGCTGGGCTGGCCAGGTTGATAATGGGCAAGGTCACCTGCC